CGTGAGTGTCCCCGCCGTCCCCGTCCCCCCGCATCCGGACACCCCCCCCCCGCTCAGGAGCCCTTCCTTCCCCAGCCCTCCCCCGGGCTGGGGAGGGGGGCGCAGTGCGCGGATGGTACTTGGATGGGGACCCCGGTGTATCCCACTACCCTGGGGGCCCCACCACCCCCATCGCCCGGTGGGGTTAGGGACCAGAGCCCTTCTCGGGTCGTGGGAGCACCGCTTCTTTGTCGCTGTCAGTGAAGGAATGTGGCGCGGGCTAGGGGGTGGCGGAGGCCGTGTCCCCACCCAGAGTGGGGGTAGGGGCTTCCCTCTCCTCCTCCATCTCGGCTCCTCCGCGTCTTGGGGATGCCGGCCTGCGGACTGCGGGCAGGAGGCACCGGCATCCAAGTCTGGACCTCGGTCTCCATGGTTCTCATCACCCCTGCCCCTCATCAAAGCACCTTTCTCTTTTTCCCGGTCTTTCTCTGGGGACCCTCCCTCCCCTCCCCACAGTGCGCGTGGTCGCAGGGTGGGTGCTGAGACCGTCGGGGTTTGAGTCCTTGCCGCTTTCTCTCTTTCCTCCCCGGGTCTCCAGGACCTACAAGTCCCGATGTCTTGGTCGGCTCGGACTGTGGCATCCCTCCCTCTCCCCGCCCATGCCCATCTAAGCGAGCACCTCCCATTCCCTTGGGGACCGGTGCTGGGGAGCTGGTGCTGGAGCGCCCTCCCTCTCCGGGGATTCCCTCCCTTTCTGCCTGTCCGTGACTCTCCTCCGAGTGCTAGCCTCCCGCTGGGCCCAGTGGGTGGGAACCCAGACGTCTGGGTCCGAGGCTAGCCCCTCCCGACTCCTTGCTACCCCCGGATGCCTTCTCTTCTCCCTCCCTCCGGCCCCTCCATCTCCCTCTCTTAGTCCTTCCTCGGGATCCCGGACTGTCGGTCCCGGCGCTCTCCACACCCCCTACCCCCCTTTCCCAGGTGATGACAGCGGGCTCTGACTGTCAGGAGCACCGGCTCCCGCCCTCTTTCAGGGCAGGAGAGCGAGGCACTCCCCTTCCCCCCCCCCCGCCCCGCCCGTTGGAGGAGGCGGAGGGTGAGCGCCCGCAGCGCTGCACAAAGAGGCTGGGGCGACCTCCCCCTTCCCCTCACCCCTTGCACTTGGTGCCTTGACCTTGAGCATGGAGTGCTGGGGTGAGGGGTGAGTGCGCCCCCTACCCACCCACACAGGGATCAAAGCCACCCCCACCCCCACCCCATCCAGCTGCTTCTGGTTCCTGAGAAGGGGGATGATGAGAGTTGGGGCCAGGGGGCTTATAGGCATGGGCCTACACGTGTGCCTTTTCTGGGGGCAGGGCAGAGGGTGGGGTGGGGGGCGGTATGGTGTCTGGGTCAGTGTGAAAGGGGGAGGTGATATGCTTCCCTTTCACCCTAAGTCTCCTGTGCACACATAGAGGTCTGTCCTATTAGGGGAACAGTCTCAAATTAGTGGAGATTGGAATTCCAGTCTGGGTTGGTGGGTCTGCAGGTGTCTAGGGCCTCAGTGTGACCCCAGGAAATGATATGGAGGAAGTGTGTGTGATGTACCCATGGCAGCAACCTTGGAGGTCAGTCACTGGGGGGTGGGCATCTTTCTCTCTGGTCACTTTCCAGGGGGTTGAGGGGTTGAAAGTGTGGACTCACTTGCTCCTAAGGAATGCCAGAGCCAAGTCCCCTTGGGAGGAAGAGCCGGTGGGCTCAGGCTTCAGTTCTGTCTACCTGAATTCATACTTGGCTTGAAGCCATTAAACCAGGGCCTCAGTGTTACAGTGTGTGAGTTGGGCAATTGAATAGTTCCTAGTACCTCATGGTGGCAGTAGTGAGGCTTAAGGAGGCTATTTATTAGGATATATTTATTTGTTTATAGATAGGGTCTTATGTAGCTCAAGCTGGCCTCAAACTCACTTAAGTAGCTGAGGCTGGCCTTGAACTCCTGATCCTCCTGCCTCTATCCTTTGAGTACTAGGATTACAAGTGTGTGTCACCATGCCCAGCTCTTTAGGTTTTGTTTTTGAGACAGTCTCTCTAGCTTACACCCGGCCTCTCTAAAGAGACCATCCTTATAAAGCACTTTGCACACAGCCTGACCAAAAATATTAATAGTCTATATTAATAGTATAAATGTTGATTAATATTATAACACAGGGCACTGGGTGCAGGGACAGAAGGATTGTTTGGGCACCTGAAAGGACTGGGAGGCCAAGCACGGAAGACAGTGTGAGAAGAGGGGTCTGTGATGGTGCTGGGTAGGGAAAGGGAGGAGACCCTCTCCCTGGGGCAGCCTGGGCTTTTGAGGAGTGGCAGGGTATCTGTTCTCAAGTGAGACTGTCTGAGCTGGGGCAGGAGTGTGAGGGGGGACAAAGGTAAAGATGTGGGGACAAGTGAAGGAGGGTGTGTTGGCTATCTGGAAGGTGGTGGTGGAGGTGAGGGGGAAGGTGAATGGACCCTCTGAGCTGAACATTGGTCTGGGGCTAGGGGATATCATGGGTAAGGTGGGGTGACCACTATAAGGGTCTGGATGGCCTTGAATGGCTTCGGTGGGTGGGTGGTGGCATCTGTGGAAGGGATCTAAATCTAGAGGTGTGTGTGTATGTGTGTGTGTGAAGGGACAACGTGGGAAACCTTGAGTGCCTCACAAGGATTGGGTGGAGTGCCCCCTGCTGGACAAGAGTGTATTCTTGTTAACACTTAGCCTCTTAATTCATGCAGCCACTCAAATCAAAATGCTGTCTCAGGAGGGCGGGGTTTGGGTGTGTGTGTGTGTGTGTGTGTGTCTGTGTCTGTGTGTGTGTTGTGTGTGTGTGTGTGTGTGTGTGTGTGTGTATGTGTGTGTGTGTGTGCAGACTGGATGAGTGTGTTTTGGTAGTTCAGCTCATTCTCTGGGGGTCTCAGGGATGAATCTGTGGGTGACAGTGGGAGAGAAAAGGGTTACCCTTTGGTGATGAATATTTCATGACTGGGTGCATGAATATTTCAGTGCCATCTTCAAACGGTGGTCAGGGGCTGAGAGCATGTAAGATTACCTCTCAAGGCCTCAGATTCCTCATCTGAAAAATGGGATAATATATAGTTCAGTCTGAAGAGAATTGTGTTAAGCACATGGTGGATGTTGAGGATTCACTCAAACATCTGTTGACCATCTATCTACTAGAGCAGACATCATTCTTTCTAAGTACATATCAGAGCCTCTTTTTAGGAATCTTCTCTGTAGAATAAATGACAGTCAGTACCTGCCTGGTACTGTTTATTCATTTGGGGCTGGGACCGAACCCCATGGGCTCTCAAACACTTCTTGACCAGTGAACTGAACCCCTGCTAGGCATCTTTGAAAACACTTTACAGGAGCTGGGTGTGGGTTACACACCTTTGATCCCAGCACTTGAGATGCAGAGGAGGATAGAAGTTTGAGGCCGACTTGGGCTACACAGCGAGACACTGTTGCTAAAACCAAACCAAGCCAAACCAAACCAAACCAAACCATCTACTTACTGTTTACTCATCTAATCCCCAATCCGATGAAACATTATCCTTATTGTAGGCGAGAAGACAGGCCCAGAAAGGTTGTCATTGGCCAGAGTCATATATCCGCAAGGATTTGAGCCCAGCAGGGACGGCTGCAGTTTCTCACCTGTCCCAGGGAGCAGTGGACTGGGGTGACCGCGAGAGACAGCCCTGGGACATCGGTTCTCTAGAGATAGGAAAGCCTGAGGGGAGGGGTGGCATGTTAGTAACACCGCCGGGTGGGCACTTGCTAGGTCTGCGCGCGTGTAGCTGGGCGTGCATGAAGGTGAGTGGAGGGGTGTGGGGGGCTGCGCGTGTAGCGTGACTGTGTAAGCGGCCATGTGCGAGTGTGTGCGTGCATGCGTCTGTGCACGTGGAGCTAGGATGTGCGTGTGAGTGAGCGTGTGTGAATGACTGCATGCTCGTTCATTCCGCTCCCCCCCCGCCCGCCCCCCGGGGTCCGCACACCCGCCTGGGACTACCACTCCCAGCATGGCCTGGACGGCCCGCCCCACCATCCTGATTGGCTAAGATCCGCGTGCTCCCGCCCCCCCGGGAATGAATGGATGGGCGGCCTCAGCGCCCGCCCGACCGCTGGGAGGACCGACCCGGCGGGGACCTGCTGGGGGCAGGACCCGGGGAGCAAGATGGCCACGGTCATCCCCAGCCCCCTGAGGTGGTGCGGGCGGGCTCGAGGCGGGGGAGTGCGAGCGGGCGGGTCTGCGCGGGCGGGCGTGTGTGTGTGTGTGTGTGTGTGTGTGTGTGTGTGGGCTGGGAGTGGGACTGGTGGGGTGTCAGGGGGCTGTCACCGTGTGCGGCGGCGGTGCGAATGTGTGTGACTGTGTCTCTGGCAAGAATGGTGTCCGACGCGCTGTTCCTGCAGGGGTGGAGGACCAGGAGGGGAAGTCTCCCAGGAGAAGGGGGTCATGTCCCCACCCGGAGATGCCAGGGTTTGGGAGAGGGTGAAATGGCTTGAGGTTGTAGGGGCCTTGGTACACACTGGAATGGAATCCACGCTACCTTTGTCTTAGGATGTGGCGTGTGTGGTGCGACTTGTTCTCTGCTTTTTGTTTTCTGGATGTGTGTGGGTATGTATAAAATCTTTTATCCTGCACTACCTCTCTTGGGCTATTCGGGTCTGGGAGTGTATGCACATGTCTGCTGAAACTGCATCATTTATGTTCTGTGACTTTGGCTATGTAGGTGTGCATATATGTCTGTCTAAATTTTTGTGTATGGGCACACCTGACTGTTCCTGTTTTATAGATGTATATGGGAATGTACTTTAAATACAGGTTTCTGATTTGCCCCTTTGTGAATGTGTGCGTGTACCTGTGTGAATCTGTGTGATTTCTTTGTACTGTGTGTTTTGGACATAAGCATATGCAGTTTGTCCAACGTGGGTCTTTGGATACATGTTCAAACGCATATGGAATTTGTTTCTAGAGTCCTGTCTTTTGACATTTGTGTAACCGTGTGTGTGTGTGTGTGTGTGTGTGTGTGTGTGTGTGTATGTTTGGATGAGTGTGTCTGGTATGTTTCCATGTTGTGGGTCTTTGTGGGTAATTTGTTTATATTGTATATCTTTGGATATGTGCATAGGTAGTTCTACAGTCTGTTTGTACACTGTGTAACTTGAGTTATTTTTGTTTTCCAAGAAACATTTGTGTGTGTGAGTGCATGTGTGTGTGTGTGAGAGAGAGAGAGAAAGACAGAGATTTGTCTGTTTCTCCTTTGTGAATATTGGGGTATGTTTCTCTTTGTGTGTGAATCTTGTGTGGCCATGTGCGATTTGTTTGTGTTGTGTGTTTGGACACGTTCATGTGTGGATGGGTCCCGGTGTGTTTTGGGTCTGTTTCTATATTGTAAATGAGCACTCCTTAACTGGAGGCCTGATCTAGTCCCAGCTTGGAGCCTCCCCGCCACCATCCTGCCCCATGTGGGAGAAGAAGGGTGAGGGGAGGATGGAAGGACTGGCCGGCCCTCTGCTGACCAGCCGGAGCAGGCGGCCGGGGGAGGGTGCAGGGCCGGCCGGCACCAGCCCTTGCTGACAGCCTCCCGCCCGCTGCTCGCCCGCCCGGCAGCCTAGGGGAGGACTTCTACCGGGAGGCCATCGAGCACTGCCGCAGCTACAACGCGCGCCTGTGCGCCGAGCGCAGCCTGCGCCTGCCGTTCCTGGACTCGCAGACCGGCGTGGCCCAGAACAACTGCTACATCTGGATGGAGAAGACCCACCGCGGGCCGGGTACGCGCCGCGAGGGCGGGGCGGGGCGGGCCGGGCCGGGCCCCTGCATCCCTGGGTCACCTTCTCACGGCCTTTCTCACTTCAGGTTTGGCCCCTGGACAGATCTACACTTACCCTGCGCGTTGTTGGAGGAAGAAACGGAGACTCAACATCCTAGAGGATCCCAGGCTGAGGCCCTGCGAGTACAAGATCGGTGGGTGGACCCGGGTCCCCCAACTCCTCGCCAGCTGTGGCCCCCGTCAGTGTTCCCAGCCCCATTGCTGTGTGTCTCAGCATCACCTTTATATTCCCAAGTATCACCATGGCAGGGTATCTTACCCCCCTCCAGTCCTCAAGGAATGTCTTGGGGGGTATTCCAGAGATTCTACAGCTTTCTTTGAGTTACTGTGCCTCCGGTGGTACCTGCTATGTAGGTCGAGGTGCCCAGATGTACCGAGGACATATTATCTGTCTAGGTGGTCACATCTGACTCTATCGCCTCCCCAGTGAGGTACTGGTGTCTGGCTCTATATTTTTCCATAGGTTCATAAAGGTGTCTATTTCCTTGTGTGTTTGGAAATGTTGGGGTGTCTGGTTGTAACTCTGTCTGTAGCCCATTGTATTAGAACGTCTGTCTCCTAGGTGTTTCCAAAGAAAGTATGTTTCTCCTTGTGTGCGCCTGGTCATCTGTGAGGAGTCAGGTCTTTTGGCACATGTTGCAACATCAGGGCATCCAACCATCTCTTCCTGTGGGGGTCTTGATGTTGTGCTGTGTCTAGAGGACATGCTGTTCATGTCTATGTTTGTTAGGTATGTTTCTTCATGTGTGTGCTAGTCCATAGACTGACTGGATTTAGTAGGAATGTATTCAGTGAACTCAGACACTGGCTGTTTTCTTTGTGCCAGTGTGTGTGAAAGTCTGCTTTACCGGGAGTATTAGAGTACTTAGCTGGCTGTCTTTTCCTGTGTGTATTGGACCGTCTCAGTGAACTGCCTGTGCCTTTCTGTGTATGCTTGTGAGTGCACTTGAATGCTTCTCCCTGAGGATACCTGCATGCGTCCAGGGCCTACCTGTGTCTTCCCCATGGGCATCCTGATTTATCTGTGGGTCTGAGTATGTCCTGAGTATCTGTGGATGTATCCAAGGGTTTAGCTTTATCTCTTTAAGGGTCTGGTTGTGTTGCTCCCTTTGAGTGTCTAACTGTGGCAGACGATCTATCTGCCTGCCCCTGTGCATGTCTGTGTGTAGCCTATCCCAGGATCTATCTACCCCTGTTTGGGTGTATCTGAAGGTCTGGCAGGGATTCTACTACATAGGTATTTCTGAGGGTCTGGTGTGTGATGATGGTCTGTGTTGTTCTTGAGGGTTTTGGGTGGATCTGATCAAGTCTTCTCCAGAGTGTGTCCTAGTGGATCTAAGGGTGTGGCTGTGTCTCCCCAGGGTCTGGGCCTGCTTTCCAGGGCTTACAGTTGAATCTTTGCATCTGTTGCTGGCTGAGTGTGGGAAAGCCTGTTCCCTCCACAAGGAGCATGTCCTACTACTCTCAACCTGGGCAGTTTGAGGACAGCCTCCTCAATTGACCCTCCCCCCAATGGACTGTCCTTAGATTGTGAGGCACCCCTGAAGAAGGAGGGTGGCCTCCCAGAAGGGCCGGTCCTTGAGGCTCTGCTGTGTGCTGAGACTGGAGAGAAGAAAGTGGAGTTGAAGGAGGAGGAGACTATTATGGACTGTCAGGTAAGACACCCCCTGCTGCAGATCCCCTTGTCACCCTGCTACCTGTCGCCACTTTGCCTTCCTGCTCTGAAACCTCCCCTGGTCCCTTAGGGCCTCTGGGTGCCCCACATCTTCATTCTCCCAGAACACCTGTGCTGGTGGAAGGCTCCCTGCCTGGCCCTCCCACTTCCTGTCTACAGTACATCAGAGCCCCCACCTTCTTGACCCCCAATCTCCCTTCTCCTGGGCCCAGAAACAGCAGTTGCTGGAGTTTTCGCATGATCTCGAGGTGGAAGACATGGAGGAAGACATTCCCAGGAGGAAGAACAGGGCCAAAGGAAAGGTATCTGCAGGAAGCGTCTCCTCACCTCCTCGTTTCAGGTCTCATGTACTGAGCATGAGCAGCCATCACTCCCTGGCAGGAATCTGACCTCATTTAATTCACAGAGCTATGTGAAGGAATAGGGGTTTTAGACCTATTTTATGGCTGAGGAAACCTAAACTCAGTGGATCAAACATTTGCAAAATGGAGTTTCCACAGTGGATCAGAGCTGTTTTCAGAGCAGGGCGTGGTAGCCCACATCTGTAATCCTAGCACTTGGGAGGCTGAGGCAGGAGGATTGCCATGAGTTTGAGACTAGCCATGGCTACATAATGAGTTCCAAGTCAGTCTGAACTACATAGAGATCTTGTCTAAAAACAAATAAAAGATCTCAAACCAACCAACCAAGCAAACAGCAACAACAAAGAAAAAATAAGCAAACAGAAAATCCATTAAAAACAGAGCCTGGAAAGATGGCTTAGTGGTTGGAAGCACTGCCTGCTCTTGCAGAGAACCCATGTTCGGTTCCCAGCATCTACATGGCTGCTAACAACCATCTGTAACTCCAGGTCTAGGGGATCTGACGACCTCTTCTGGCCTCCATGGGCACTGCATGCATGAGATACAGTTACATATATGCAGGCAAAACATTCATACACATAAAAATAAATAAATAATGTAGAAATACAATAAAAGCAGTAAGAAGAATTATCTTCATAGCTATACTGAGTAAGGTTCAAGGGTCTGTAGCTAGGAAGTTTGCCCAGTTATGTGGGAAGTTTTTGTTGTTGTTGTTCTTATTTTGAGACAGGTCTCACTATGTAACCCCAGCTGGCCTGAAACTCATTGTGTAGATCAGTGGCCTCAAACTCACAGAGATCTCTGCCTCCCAAGAGCTGGGATTAAAGATGTGCACCACTACGCTGGGCAAATGGGGAGATTTTAATATCATTTGTTTTGTGATGCTGGGGATAGAATCCAGAGCCTCACATTGGGGCAAGTGCTCCACCACTAAGCTGAGCCCCTAACACCGAAAAATACTTTTTTTTTTTTGCAATTTGACTCTCAAGTCCAAATGAGGAAGCCATGTGTAAAGGAAGATCCCTGGGAGTTCAAGGCCAGTCTCATCTACATAGAGAGTTCCAGTCCAGCCAGGGCTACATAGTGAGACCCTGTCTCAAGAAACAAAACAAAAATTAAAAAATAACAACTCAAAAACCCCAAATAATGATGGTCCCTTTTCCTGGCTTTCGGCGTCCTTACTCCTGACCTCTCTCTCTCCAGGCATATGGCATCGGAGGTCTCAGGAAACGCCAGGACACCGCTTCCCTGGAGGACCGAGACAAGCCGTATGTCTGTGATAGTGAGTTCTACAGAGGGGGAGAGAGAGAGGGTGTGTGGGACCCAGCCACGGACCAAAACACTCCCCTGGCCCCTCGCTCTCCCTCGGGTCCTCGGTCCTGGCATGGGTGAGGGGAGGTCTCAGATCTTTGTCAGAGCGGGTGGTGTGATCCTGGAGGACAGGGTGGAAGAGGTGGCCTAGGAGGCTGACAGCCACTCGCTTGCTCGCCCTCCAGTCTGTGGGAAGCGGTATAAGAACCGACCTGGGCTCAGCTACCACTACACCCACACCCACCTGGCCGAGGAGGAGGGGGAGGAGCACGCAGAGCGCCACGCCCTACCCTTCCACCGGAAAAACAACCACAAACGTGAGGCTGAGGGTCAGGGCTGGGTGGTGAGGCACCCATGGGTGAGGTGGGGGCAGTGGAATCTGGTGGTGGCTGTGGAAGGGGAGGTGAAGGGGGCACATTAGGCATTTCTGGAAAATCTCCAGCTCAACAGTTTCCTCCCCCACCGACCAAAGGGATGCTGGCTCTGGAGTTGCCATGACAACCAACCATCTCTCCCTCACTCCCTGCCCGGGCGTAATATTTCTGGGTCTGATTTATTGTTTCAATTAGAGCTTGGGTAGGGGGTTGATAGATGACTCCCCCCCACCCCGGGGCCTCCTTTTCTTCCTTGTCTGCTGTGGTAGAGTCCAGGGGCAAGGTCAGCGGCCTCTGTGGTCCTTGACACCCACCCACGCCCATCCCATGCCACGACAGCTGAGCCATGGGGGAAGGGAGCTGTGCTCCACCCATCTTTCAGAGTGAGATTCACAGCGTCCAGGCTTATAGCAACCACTGAATTTTGACCTAAGGAAGCTGACTTGGGTCTGGTTGCCCTGCAACCATGTGATATGAAGGCAGGCAGGGGCTCTTGCCAAGGCTATACATCTCATGTTTTTACCCAATAAAAAGAACATATAGTCATCCCAAGAGTTGGGGTTCCAGAGAGAATTATTTCCCTCCCCTTCCACAGCTTTTTTACTACTGGACACAACTAGGGGCAGCACTCTCTCCCCACCTCCCCAGTGCCTCTGCCTAGGGTCCTCCCCTGGGGCTGAGGCTGGGGACAGGTGGAGTCTTGCCTATGGTGAGAGGTCCTCTCTCTGTCCCCCACCCCCAGAGTTTTACAAAGAATTGGCCTGGGTGCCCGAGGCACAGAGGAAACACACAGGTAGGGATGCCTCCCTCTGCCCCTGCTTGTATGGCAACTTTTACTGGGGTGCCCTCACCTGCCCTGAGGCCCACCACTGCCTGCTGTTTTTCAGCCAAGAAGGCGCCAGACGGCACTGTCATCCCCAACGGCTACTGTGACTTCTGCTTGGGGGGCTCCAAGAAGACAGGGTGTCCCGAGGACCTCATCTCCTGTGCAGATTGTGGGCGATCAGGTGACCCTCCTACCAGAAGTTCCTAGGGAATGTGGGGAGAGGACAGCACAGAGTCCAGACCTGGGGGACAGAAGGCAGGGGAGTGAAGGCTGTACCCAGCCTGTCCCAGGGTTAGCAGAACCTTGGAGCTGCCCTCAGTTGCTCGGGACTGTGGGGACCTGAGTGGGCTTGCTGGCATGTTGGGAATAGTATGAGGTGTTGTGGCTTTCTGCTTTCCTGGCATCAAGAATCTAGAGACGTTAGAGGGGCATTGTGGGTAGCGGACTAAGGTATGGGAGTAATGGATTGTACCACCTGAGTGCTGTGGATAACAGGGTTGCTTGCTGTAGAATTGTGGCTTTACAATGTGGTTTTCCATGGCAGCCTCATGGGTAGTAGATTGGTCACTTTAGCAGTGTGGGTAATGAATTGTGGTTGTTATGGTATGGTGAAATATCTTGGCAGTTTAATATAATGGAATGTGGTGGTTGCAGCACTATGGGCTGTGGTTGTGGGTACTGAGTATTGTGGGCAGTGGCTGTTGTGCAGTGTGGGCAATGGCTATGGCTGTGAGGCTCTATGGACAGTGACTGCAGGTGTCTCTGCACTGGTGCATGGGGATGACTAACAGGCTGACATTTCAAGTATTGTTTAGTGACAGTTTGGTTGCTGGTGCCCTGTGTGGACTGGCCCTTGGTTGGCTGCATGGAACCAAGGTGTGGGGAGCTGTTGTAGAAGCGGTTGCCATAGCATTGTGGCTGGGAGAAGGTGGCTGCCACGTTGCTGTGGCTGACAGGCAGGCTGGCCTGATGTTGGGTATTGGAATGTGGCCGTCTCAGCACGGTGCTTAACAGACTGTGGTTGCCACAGTGTTGTGGGTGGTAGAACGTGGTTGCCACAGCACTGTGGGTAATGGAATGCGGTTGCCATGGTATTCCGAGGAGCAGAGTGTGGTTGCCATGGTGGCTGAGTAGGAGACTGTGGTGGCCACTACACCGCTGCTTGTCCGAAGTCCAGTTTCCAGATGTCAGGGCACAGGGTTGGGATCAGGACATGCAGTTCATCTTGACCTCTGAGTTGGGTGTGGAGTGGGGTGGATGGAGCCATTTCTTCCCCAGGGGTCAGTAGCCACCAGGGGCAGGATGCTCCCTAACCAGATCCCTGTCCCTTGGCCCCCAGGACACCCCTCGTGTTTACAGTTCACGGTGAATATGACTGCAGCTGTACGGACCTACCGCTGGCAATGCATTGAGTGCAAATCCTGCAGCCTGTGTGGCACCTCAGAGAATGACGTGAGTGGCTTTCTCCACTTCCTGGACATGTCCCCAGTCACCTGCCTGGTTTAGCCACTTTTGCCCATAAAGACTAGAACCTTCCCTGCCCAGAGCCCTGGGGGTGACTAATAGCAATGTGTGTCCTTAATTTGAGCCAGCTCCTTTATGTTTTACCCCTCTGACACCTCCCAGGCCTCTCTCTGAGGCTGGTGCTCTTATTTCCACTACACAAAGACACCAAACTCAGAGAGGCAGAATGACTTGCCTGAGGTCCCCAAGCTGAGAAAATGGTAGGGCCAGGGGTATTCGAACCCACGTTCATTGCTCCTCATTCAGTGTTCTATAGTTATAAAATGCAGTCCACATTCTGAGTTGACAGTCCTTGAGGCTGTCTACCTGGCTTGAGCATTCTACAGTGCAGATCCCTGAACCAGCTCTCTCAGAAAGGCCCCTGGGACCTAGCCCCTGCCCCAGCCCCCCACCCCGGTTTCTGGTACCCGTGCCCCCAGGGTGCCAGCTGGGCGGGTCTCACCCCCCAGGACCAGCTGCTATTCTGTGACGACTGCGATCGGGGTTACCACATGTACTGCCTGAGCCCCCCTATGGCGGAGCCCCCAGAAGGTGAGGGAAGAGGTGGGCGAGACATGGGGCGGGTGGGTTGGAACATTGCCTTCCTGGTGGAAGAGATCATGTGTTCTGAGTGGGGATGGAAGGACGGGAGGTGGGGAGCTCTTCTTCGGCTTGAGTCTAATTCCATTTTGTGGCTGCCCCCGCAGGGAGCTGGAGTTGTCACCTATGCCTTCGGCACTTGAAAGAAAAGGCCTCTGCCTACATTACTCTCACCTAGGCCTGGCTCAGCTTTCCGAGGACCTTCGGGTGGTGCTTTGTCCTTCTGCCTCTCGGAGCGCCTCACTCTTCCACTGGGAGGGAGAGGGCGAAGCCCACAGGGGCTCAGGCGCCCTCCCTCTGAAGCGGAATGCCACCCTGTGGGTGGGTGGGTCCAGCCAGGGCCCCCCTCTTGCCCTTCCTCTCCATCCCTTGGCAAATGGGCACCGGAGGTTTCTGCTCCCCTCAAAGCCATACCCCGCCTCTGGGCGGGCATAGGGGGGTAGTGGATGCCAGCTTGGGGTACGGACAGAGCCTTTTTCTAAAGAAAAAGACAAAAAGTTAAAAAAAAAAAGAAGAAATTAATATATACAGAGAGTCCTATAAGGCCTGGCTGGGTGGAGGGGCACTGCTGAGCGTCTGCTGGGCACCTGACTTTGCCAGTTTCCTGCCTGGCACCTCCCCACCCAGTTTCTGGAGTTGCAGTTGTCCCAGCTCCCCACCTGAGGTGGGTACCATTCCTCTCATACCCAGGCCAGGTGGGCATGGTGCCCACCCCTCACCCCCTCCTGGTGCCCACCGTGGATACTGCATGTGAACCATGGTTTTGAACTCTTTCTGCCACTCCCTGACAGCCCTGCCCTCTGCCCACCCAGTGCCTGCCAGGCTTAGGGCGGTTGGCTGGGGGAGGCCGGTGGGGCGAGTTGGGCAGCCCAGACCGCTCAGAGAAGCACAGATTGCAATGGACTCATTTTATTTCTCCTTCCCAGCCCCCTTCCCACCCGGCCAGGCCGGGTTGGCCCCTGCCCCCCTCGCTGGCCATTTTGGGGGTGACGAGGGGGGTGTGGTTGTTTCTCGTGGTTGTGTGTGTTTGTTGTTCGGGTTTTTAAAAAAAGGGAAATTGAGACTGCAAGTGGGGGAGGTAGAGGGTCTGGGGGAATCTCCCCTCAATCCAGGAGCACCCCCCGTCACTGAGTCTCCTTTATTGCCTGCCTCTGCTGTGAATTAACTTGTTCCGTGTATTAAACTGGGCCTGACCCCTCTGCCTATGACCGCCTCTTTCTGTGGCCTGGTTTGGGGTGTCACCAAGAAGGGAAACTGGGGGCCTTGCTGGGGTAGAAGCCACTCTGGGCATCCCCCACCTTCACGGCTTCCTCACCCCCGCACCCCCGCCTCCCTCTGGCTTTGTCCCAGCTCCTCCCTGCCTTGCAGGAAAGGAGAAGAGGGGGATGGGGTGGAGGGGCTCCCACCCAGCCAGCTGTGGTTGCCCTGGCAACGGGCTGCTGCAGCTGCAGCGGGAGGCAGCTTGAGGAGGGAGGTGGGAGCGAGGGCTTGGGGGAAGGGACGGCTGGAGAGACCAGAAGGCAGCCCCCTCCTGGGCTGGGGTGGGAAGATGGCACCCCAGCCTGGTTGCCTATCACCTGGGGCCCCCTGTCCTGGGTGTGGGCAAAAAGAAGGACAGGAGACACATCAAACAAAATACAAGGATCACAGGAGGGATGTTGGGTGGGGTGGGGAGTGTGGGAGAAGCAGGGCACTGATGAGAAAGATTCTGAGGTCACAAATTTACTGAATGAGGAAAAGGACAAAGGAAGGGAAATACATAGATGAAGAGACCCAACAATTCAGAGGGAAGAGCTGGGGGGGGGGCATGGAGGGCCAGTCCAGGAAGTAACAGTAATAAAAAAAATAGCCATGCCCAGGCCAGATCGGGGAGGGCTAAGTCCACAGCGGTTTGGAGAGAGAAGCAGATTTGAAGTTGGAAGGGAGAAAAAGGAATGGAGGTGAGGATCCAGGGACAGGTGAAGTCTTGACACGAAAGACACAGATGAGGGGGGAGGAATGGATTTTGGGGGGAAGGCAACAGAATTTAAGGGATGACACCATCGAGCACGGTGGCACATCATGTGGCCTGTCATCCCAGCATGCTGGAGGCTGAGGCAGGAGGATGGTGAGTTCCAGATGAGCCTGGACTACACACACAGTGGGACTCTATCTCAAAAACAAAAACATCACCTCCCCAACCCCCAAAACGTGGTGGTGGGAAACAACAACAAAAATCTGGAGTGCCAGCCCTACGAGGCCATAGCTCTATGAGGCCATAGTGATGGACTGGGAGGCCGAGGAGAGGTGGGGGTGGGCTGAGACAGGCAAGGAAAAACTGGGGCAAGATGGGGATGGGACGACGGGGCGCAGAGCAGGCGAGATTGGGGCCTGGCATGCGTGTTGGGTGTTGGGAGATGATGGTGTGTCTCCCGGGCCAGGAGAGGATGTGAGAACAGTTTGTTCTGAGGTTTCCCCCCCACACACTTGGCCCTGGTTGGTGGGGGGAAGGCAGGGCTGGAGGATGGGGCCCTGAGGAGGGTGGAGAGGGAGGATGTCTGGGTAGCTAGTAGGTTCTGGAGCCATGGGAAGGGCTGATGCTCAGTTGGATGCAGGCCTATTCCTTTTGGAAGATTTTTTTTTTTTTTTAAGGAGTGGGGGTAGAGGTGGGGGGAGGGTCAGATTTAAGCTCAGAGAAAAAAAAAATGGAAGGGCTGCTATTCAGGTGAGGAGGGGCCAGAAAGATCCTACCTCTGGCAAGCCCTGTTGAGAGAGGCTGAGGCCCATGTTGGCTGGCCAGAGTTCCCATGAGAGGCAGGTCCTTGGCAGTCTCCGATGGAATTCTCAGAGTCCGAAGTCAGTTTGCTCCTTGTGCTGCCCACCTGCAGATGTCCACATCTGGACCAGATGCAGAACTGGGGCGTCAACCTTCAAGCTGCCCCCTCTACAGAACCTGATCCTGGCTGAGGCCACAGGGACCTGGAGGGGAAGGCACACTGTTCTTCCCCATACACTAAGCATGTCCCCCCAGGCTCCCCCACTCCCCTTGGACCAAAGGCAGAGGACAGTCCACAGTATAGAGGGTTGGAGAGGCGCAGGGACAGCCCCAGTGGGCAGGGCTGGAGATGCACTGGAGCCAGGGCTGGGCTGGGCTGGGCTGGTGTGATCTGGGGTCATCAACAACCCTGGGAATGGGGCCCTCACTTGTGTATTGCAGACAGACAGATCAGGATGCCCCTGGCTTTACTACAATCTCCTTTTAAAGGCTATTTGTCTTTTATTTTTGGGACAGGGTTTCATATAGCCTAGACTGGCCTCAAGCTTGCTTTGTAGCTGAGGATGACCCCCGAACTCATGCTGCTCCTCCAGCCCCCAAATGCTGACATTACAGACTTGTACCACCACGATGGGCTTTTTTTCTATTTTTGAGAGACAGGTTCTTGCTATGGAGCCTAGGTTGGCTTTGAGCTCTGGGTGATCTTCCTGCTGCAACCTCCACAATTCTGGGATTGTAAAATGTGGGCCATGACCTGGTGGTGCACACCTTTAAGCCTAGTATTCCCAAGGCAGAGGCAGGTGGATATCTGTGAGACCAAGGCCAGCCTGGTCTACATACTGAGTTCCAGGGCCACAGCACTTGTCAAAGGAGACTACTCCTTTAAAAACAGAACACTTCCACGGCTAGGCCGGGCCAGGCTCCCAGGCTAGCTCTCAAGATCTAGCCCTTTTTAATTTATGCACATATAAATCTGGAGGATCAGGGGGCTGTAGAGACAGCTCAGCTCAAGAACACTGGCTGCTCTTGCAGAGAATAAAGGGTTCGGTTCCTAGCACACACAGGGCTGCTGACAACAATCCCTAACTCCAGTTCCAGGGGATCTGACACCCTCTTCTGGCTTCTGTGGGCACTAGCATGCACATAATACACTTAATAAATGCAGGCAAAACCACTATATAAGAGAAGATTAAAAAAAAAATCAAAATCTAGAGGGTCAGATTTCTGTTGTTTGGATTCTGAGGAAAAGAAGTTTGCAAGGCTGGTTTCTGGAAGTGCAGAAGAGTGGTGGTCTGTGTCTGGGAGGAGGGCTTAGGCGGAGAGAGTCAACTCTGACTTCAGGCAGCTGCCCAAGCCAGTGAACAACACACAATGATTTCTATGAAACATTTATTTCCTTTGAAACCTCCAGAAACATGCCAGAAAATCTCAAGACAGGGATGGGAAGAAAAGAAAAAGACAATAAAGAATAAAAAAAATCCAAATGAAACAAATCAACACGAAAAAAAGTCTGCTATCTCCAGCCATCAGATAGAACGTCAGCTTCAAATTAAATAGATTTGTTTTGCAGAAATTCTTTAAAAAATAACAGAACAAAACCAAAAATTATAATTTACAATTGTCAATATACATGATTAGGTCCCCCAAATGATTAGAATGATCTGAAGATATGAGAGACATATTAAAAAAGAAAGAAAAGGCTCCAGCTTGGGGTCTGAGGAAAGGAGGATGGGCAGGGCTGGAGAACCCTTCAGAAAGGGGGTCAGGAAAGGAGGGACGTCACAGTAGCTGGCCAGGGCTGAGGACACTGGGTGGCCTGCTCCACCACCACCACTCCACAGTGGGTAGAGGACACAGTAGGTGTGTTCCCTCTCAACCCAGGGTTCCTCAGGGCCAGAGGTGGGTCAAAGGGAGCCATGGGCACCCTCTTCTCCAGCCCTGTCCTCTAGTCTGGCACCTCTGGAGTGCCTGTGGTGTGTAGTCTCAGAGCCCTTTCCAAGAGGGTCCTGGGTCCAAAATGAAGGTGGAGGGTCTCCGGCCGTGTCTCTGGACCTAACCCGTGCTGTCAACTGCTCCCTGTCTGCTGCCCCCACATCCCTCTGGGCCCTCCACTGACCCCCAGTCCATGGGAACACTCCTTGACCCTGGGGTTGGGGAATCCACAGACTGTGGCCATCCAAACTTGTTCTGGCACAACTCTACATGAAAAAATAAATATATATATATATATTCTTTTCTGTTTGTTTTTAAAGAAGGAAGAAAAAGGAACTTGTGTTTCCTGGGTGAACAGTGTGGTTGCACACTGACTGCCCCTTATTGCCTTTAGAGAATCAGTGTCTCTGGGGGTTGCACGGTGAGTGCTCCCCAGGGAGCACAGTGAGTGTGTCTGGCTGTTGCTGGGGGCTGTGAGAGTGGCTGGGAAACTTGCAAAAGAAAAGGGGACCAGACAGGAGGTGAAGGCAGCTTTGCTTCAGCCCTGTCCCCAGGCTTCCTGCGGCCTCTGGAGCCAGGAGGAGGGGGCCTAGCGGTGCTAGGAGGAGGAGCCCACAGCCAGCCAGATCAGTAGCCCAAAGGTAGTGGGGCCTGTGGCCCCAAGCCCAGGTGGGCCGCCATGGCCCTGGAGAGGAACTGATAGAAAAAGATCATATAAACAGTCTGGATTGTACAAACAGGGTTTCTCTCTCAAAGAAGTGGATCTGGATGCTGGGGGTTCATGTCCATTTTGGGGCCCCAGGAAAATAATTTAAAGTCTATGAAAGTGCTCCTGGCTGTTGTGTGGAGAGGTGGGGATGAAGGGGGGGATGTGCATGCTGTTTGGAGCTGGCACACTGAGGACAGAGGAGCCTTGGGCTGTCAGGGAGGAGGGGAAGAAAGGGCTCATTTCTTGCCATGATTCTCGTGCAGGTCTCCCGGGCCCCTCCCACTAACAGCTCCAGGCAGCTGGGTCCTAGGAAGAAGTTTCATGGCAGGACCATGGGGAGTAGCAGAGAGGGGCCTGAGACAGGGGCAGATCTGGTTCACAGCCCCTGGGGCTCTGAAAAACCTAAAGAGGATTGTGGGACAGAGGGTATGGGGCCATGGCTGGATGGCCTGTCACCCCTGCAATCAGGGGCCCACAGAGGAGAGAGGAGTCAGGAGTTCATAGCCTGCCAGCCGGGAGGCTCAGAGTTCCTTCTTCTCCCTGCTGAAGAGTTCGGCAAACTTGCGCAGCTGCTCACTGGCGGCCTGAGACTCCTCCTGCAGCCGCTGGTTGTTCTGCCGGAGGCTGGCCACCTCTGACTGCAGCACCACCTTGTCCTGCTTCTCCTGTGAGACAAGAGATGGTTGGGTCAGGCTCTAGGTAGTGCTAGGGCTTCAGAGCTCTGGCTGCAGGGGTTCAAATCCCAGCTCCACCTCTCCAGAGGAGCACACTGACCTCAAATCTGACAGGGGTGGATCAGAGGGCCCCTGAGGTCCCATATGTGAAAGTCTTAAGCCACATGTTTACATGGAATTTTTTTTTTTTTTTGGTCTTTTTTTTGAGACAGGGTTTCCCTGTAGCCCCAGCTGACCTGGAACTTCCTATGTAGACCAGGCTGGCCTCGAACGCACAGAGATGCCCCTGCCTCTGCCTCCCGAGTGCTGGAATCATTTTTTAAAACTTTTTTTTTGAGACAGGGTTTTATTGTGTAGCCTAGGCTGACCTCAAACTTGTAACCCTCTTGCCTAGCCTCCACAGTGCTCAGATCACAGCATGTACCACTACTCACAGCTTGAAGGAGTCATTTGACAGACATTATGATCGCCTCATCCCACCCCCCACTGTTGATATCCTCCTATTTCCTACTGTTCACCAAGTCCCAAACAGCCAAGGCTGCCTGAGTAGGCTTCATCTCTTCCAAGGCTGACAGAATTGCCAAGGTTAAGTAGTGGGCTGGGGATTTGAATCTGGGTCCCTGATTCCTTAATAACGCTGTCTCTTGCTTTGAATTATCCCAAATATCTAAACAATAACACCTCCTCTTGTCTCTGTTCATCCTTGTACACCCTGTTCACATACAACTCCAACCTCGTCCTTCACTTAGGATCTTTTTTTCAGTGTCATTGTGGCAGCTGTGGGGCGCGTGCTGTGATCCCAGCTGTGGGGCGTGTACTGTGATCCCAGCTGTGGGGCGTGTACTGTGATCCCAGTTGTGGGGCGTGTGCTGTGATCCCAGCTGTGGGGTGTGTGCTGTGATCCCAGCTGTGGGCTGTGTACTGTGATCCCAGCTGTGGGGCGTGTGCTGTGATCCCAGCTGTGGGCTGTGTGCTGTGATCCCAGCTGTAGGGTGTATACTGTGATCCCAGCTGTGGGGTGTGTACTGTGATCCCAGCTGTGGGGTATGTACTGTAATCCCAGCTGTGGGGTGTGTGCTGTGATCCCAGCTGTGGGGTGTGTACTGTAATCCCAGCACTCAGGAGTCAGGAGGACCAAGGCAGCCTGGGCTATTTTTCACTTAAGTTATTGGCTTTATCTTGCATGTTAGTCAATGGATAGATGTACTGTTGTTTATTGAATTTTACTTTTTATTTGATGTGTGTATGTGTGAGTGTATGCGTGTGTGTACACAGACACCATGCCATTCTGTTGAGGCAGGGTCTCTCCCTAAATCTGGGGCTCTATATTCCTGGATAGGCTGCAATCTGGCAAGCTTCAGTGACCCACCTATGTTTGGCCCTGACTCAGAGCAGGGGTTACAGGCATGTGTGGGATGCCTAGCTTGTTACATAGATGCTCCCAGGCTTGACTAACTTGTTTTAACTAGCTACAGACTTCTGCTGCATGAGTGTCCTGTAATTTATATTGTAGGACCCTGAGACCCTCTTCATTCACCCACTACACCCCAATCCCTCCAGACCCCCACTAATTGCTCTTTTAGCTACTGTAAAATGCTTGGCTGCTGCTTTAGATATGCCTAGACATGTCCTGGCATGCCCTGACCCCGGCCTGCTATCCACTCCCCCTTCCAGGAAACTATAGATTAAGCAAGCCCGGGCATGAAAACTGCCCTATAAGGAAAAACGGAGACTCCTGTCCCCACAGATAACAGTCAAAAATAAAGACTCCTAATCACACAGATGGCCCGCACATTCCACAACCCTGAAAACAACACCCGCCAATAAAAAATCTATCAGTTCAAAGGTGTGTTGGGGTGAACAGGATTCTTGGACCAACTACAAAGTGACACTGTTATTCCCCTCCTCTCTTTGTTTTTAACCTATAAAGAGCCCCTTCTTCCCCCACCCGGGGCTCTCAGCACGGGTCCGTTATATTGGTGCAGTCTGAGAGCCCGAGCTTAAGCCCGAATAAACTATAAACCTTGCTTTTGCATTTTTGGTGTGTTGGATCCTCGGTGGTCTTCTTGGGGTCCTGTGAATGAGGTATAACATTTGGAGGCTCGTCCAAGATTCCCCCCAGAGACCCCCGAGAGGAACCGACCCCAAAAGGTTTGTGATCAACTGGCCGGGTGTTTTTGTAAAACTGTTTGTCCGACTATCTTCTCTATACTTTCGCTTTGGTCTCAGCCATCTGATCTCAGTTTTTTGTCACTGGAATGCTAGCAAGGCGACCTGGAGGATTCAGGAGACGTCCCCATCCTCGTCGGGGCGGGTGTTCCTCACCGGACACCCCACCAGGACACTAGTCCATCTGAAACCTCAGAGAACCTCGCGACCCGACCCTGTTGGGACACGCACGTCCTATCCATACAGTCTTTGGCATAATCGAGCCGGGGAACCCACACGGCCGAGAGTCCAGACCATCTGAAAGCCGCGGTAGTTTATTCTGGGCCCTCTGTCTGTTTGCCCGACCCGGTTGGGACCCCCCCGTCCTATCCATACAGTCTTTGGCATAATCGAGCCGGGGAACCCACACGGCCGAGAGTCCAGACCATCTGAAAGCCGCGGTAGTTTATTCTGGGCCCTCTGTCATTCTTGTGTCTTGTGATCTTCGTTCCAGTTTCTTTGTTGACGAAACAGACAGGACTGATAAATACTATGGGCAACACCCCATCTTCCCCTCTAGACCTTACACTAGTCCACTGGGAGGACGTTAAGACGATTGCCCATAACAATAGTGTAGATGTAAAGAAAAAGAAATGGACAACTTTATGTTTGGTTGATTGGCCCTCCTTCAATGTTGGATGGCCCCCTGAAGGGACTCTTAACCTGAGTTTGATTTCCAGGGTAGAGGACCACGTCTTCCGCCCACAGACAGGCCACCAGGACCAGATCCCATACATCATGAGCTGGTGAGGCCTCATCAAACAACCTGATGGCCCCCCAGCCTGGGTCAAGTCCTTCCTTCCCCTGATTAATCCAACTGCTCCCCCTCCACCTCTGCAGGTCCTCCCTCTCAGACCAAAGGCGGAAGAGAAACCCATTCTCCAGGGAGGCACAGAGGAGAATGACATCTTTCCCCCGCCCTACTCCTCTCAGACAGGCACCCCACCAATGGCACAAGTGCAGGCCCTGCCTCCTAACCCTGAGGAGCCACCATCGCCTCCACAGGGACCTGCACAGGCCACACGGAGCCGGAGGGGGATGGCCCCCAAGCCTGACACCATTGTCCTCCCCCTCCAGCTGGAGGGGCCCCCAGATGGAGAGAGCAATCAGCCCTTTCATTACTGGCCTTTGCCACCAGTTATCTTTACAATTGGTGCTCACAGAATGCACCTTTCTCTGAAAACCCCAGGGACTTGATTAACTTATTGGAAACTGTTCTCTTCACGCACCAGCCCACCTGGGACAACTGCCACCAGCTCCTGAGTGTCTGTTCACTACTGAGGAGCAAAACAGGATCCTGGAGGCAGCCTGGAAATTGGTTCCGGGCCCCACCGGGGACCCTACCACAGACCCAGGCATCATTAATGCCAGCTTTCCCCCTAGCTGTCCCATCTGGGACTACAACATGGCAGAAGGTAAGGAGAGGCTCCTGGTCTACCACCAGACTCTGTTAGTGGGTCTCAAAATGGCAGCTCAAAAACCCACCAATATGTCTAAGGTCTATGATGTCAGACAGGGGTCTGAAGAGAGCCCAGCCTCATACTTAGAGAGGTTACAAGATGCCTTCCAGAGGTTCACTCCATATGACCCAGAAGCAGAGGAATCAGTTCAAACTGTGATGTTTGCTTTCATTAACCAGGCAGCCCCTGACATCAAGAGAAAGTTACAGTCTTTAGATAGACTAGGAGAAAAGAACC